TCTCAGGGGTTTTATCCTCAAATTGCAACATACAACTTGGTCTACTTCCAGTGATGATCCTTTGAAGTTGGCAACACTGGTTTTTCTCCATTTAAATGTATGCAAAACAATCGGTTTTTGATGTGGCAGCTTGCCTCCCATAATATCAATATTTTTAATGGGTTTAAATGGAGGAATAACAGTGTTGCCAACTTGCAAAATCGCCACTGTTCACTTGAAACATTACAGACAACGCGGACCCTTCTTAAACTTAAAATTATAGTTTTTGTTTCGAAATCCGAGTCCTTCTTACCTCTATACTAGAATGACCTCGATAGAGGCGAGGTATATGATGATTCCTACAATCGGCTCGGCATAGCTAGATCATTCAAATCTGTAACATAGCTAACGAAGAGTATTACAAAAAAAAGTAACGACTTGCATCATTAATCAAATCAGACGATAGAAGAGAGAAATGAGGCCACGTTTTTTTGAAACTAAACGGAATCGCAGGTATAGTTTCTCTCTCTTCTTTTTTACTGTTCTCCGGAATGAAAATAAATGAATATAAAGAGGATAATCAAGTTGAATTTGGGGCTCTCTTCAAAACTTCAACAACTGCAATTAGAATTGAGTTCGGGAGCACAGTCTTGATACTTGTTTTTTATAGGTGTAGTATCAATGAACTCGTAGCATTTAGCAGTCTTAAAATAAATTTTTCCTGCTCACGCGTGTCTTTGAACTTTGAATACTTAAATTGTTTCCAACCTTGAGCTGCCTTCTTCTAAATGCAGTTTGATTTTTTGAACTTCTTGCGCATTTTCTTTATCGATCTCTCTCCAATTAAAATTGAACGCTGAGTGTGAAGCGAAGAGGAAGCACAAAATTTGCTCGATAATTAACTGAAAATTGCAATTTACTTCTTCATCAATTGTTCTTTTTGAGCGTTCATTCCATCTGTCTATGCACTCTCAGAATAAAAACGCGGTGTCCGCATTTTGATCAGACCGCAATAAAGAAGAAAACATATTAGCTCTAATTTGAAAGTTTCGATGTTTTGATGTTTAATAGCTTTCATAGGTCCTGAAGATGAAAGGCAGGAGTACTTAGAAGTATTTTTATTCCAATGACAAAACTTAACAGATAACACATATGGATTCCGTATTTTTGAAAAGTGAAATTTCAATGACTCGAAAAATGAAGAATCACGGGTTGGACTTTGATTCGTTGAAAATAATTAGTCTATTTGCTTCTTCTTTTTTTTCAAAAAAACGTAGGGTCCTTGGGTTGATAAACAGTGGATGATTTTCAAAATTTCCCAGAGTATTAATTTCCTTTCTACGTTGTGCGCTAGTAACTCGGTAAAAAGATCTGCCATAATACAATGATAGAATTGAGTGCTGAGAAAAGATCTGGAAAAGTCAAGGAAAATCGGAAAATTTCTCTGAAAAAGATCGAAATATAAGGAATTTTAAACCTGTGCGTAACCTCTACGGACTAAGAACCCTCTGTTAAATCTAAGTCTGTTAATAACATTTTTAACGCCAGCTTTTTATTTTTACAAAATCATCGAAGAATCCTGGAGGTGGTCGCGAATAACTAGTGCATTTTTAAGGTTTTCTCTCTCTTTGGCTCAGCAACTCAGTCTATAAATTGAGTTTCAATGTGAGAAATTTGGGTAAATGATGACGACGCCCATATAGATCGTTTTCGATAGTGGTTCGATGTATCGTTTGGTTTAAAACAATAGAACATAACCTAAAACAAAACTTTCAGGATTTCAGTCGGAAAAGCTGAAAATGAGAAAATGCCTAACTATTTCACCTTGCGATTCCATTTAGTACTCTTAAGAATATAAAATCTATGAGAAAAACCCCGTTTCCTCAGATTACTCGATTGACTTTTAAAGCTATGTTTACATGTTGAACCAATCGATATCGATACAATCTCACCTATTTGATGTATCGAAAACGATCTATTATGACATCAATCCCGAACAAGTCGTCTCCATACTGAAATCAGAAGGATTGAAAATCCATGGAACTGAGGTCAATCTACAGCCCCAATCGGTCAATATCCTCGAGGTTGATCCTGTTCCATCCGGGTCACTACATGTATTTATATTTCATACCGCTCTCCGCGTACGGACGCATTAATATTTAACTATCTCGTCCGTTTTATTCAATAATGATTTGTTTACTTTTCCAGTCGTGATGAGTTCGCACCAATTTCGTGTCGTAAGGTTAGGGTCTAAAAAATCCGTTATCTCGGCTGGAGTTATCAACATGCTGATTCTTCATGACCCTATTACTGCTGCTCCCATGGAGTGGTCCCACAGTGTTTTTCTGCGACCACGTGATAACCTACGTGAGGATCCGTTTCGCCAGGAATCGAATTTAGATTTTGATTTTGATGCCCGTGCATCATTATGTTCTCTCTCTTTTAAATTTTTTTTCTTCGAGTGGTCGGATTTCCTTTCCAAGTTTTTTGATCTCTTCGTCCTCAATTCTATTTTTAATATTTAAAGTTCGGAGTCAAATTTCAGTTATGACGTCAAACGAGGCAATTCACCTTTAAGGAAGGTCCGGTGATCCTATCTAAATGAATTTTTCCACTCATAAAAGAAGGTCAGTTTCTGATAATGCTCTCAGAAAAATGCACCGAGAAGGAGATTTTTGATAATTTTTGCCACGTTCTAAAGGTATGCGGTGATTTCGTCATTGAGGGTTATTTTAGCGGACGTCTTGTATAGTCGGTGATAATTATTTTAGGCTTCCCTACCTCGGCTGATTTCACTGACAGGTTCATTTCGGGGTCGTAAAAGTCATCTTAACTTTTAAAAACTTTAACGGAAAAGAGAAAGCCATTTGTAATGACCAGAAATCTAAATTGCTGAAGATTAAACCAAAATAATGGAGTTATTACGCTTCAAGCAGAAACAAAACAAGCTAAGACGCCTTCAATGCAACGTAACAACGGTAGCAAAGGCGTGATACGACTATTCGTGCTCTTAGGATGTCCGCACTGCATATTCGCAAGATTGAAGGCGTTCTGGATACCTACTCCAGTTAGCTACGTGCGCGCCGCGCTCTAATGATTCGATTGAAAAATGTGTTCCGATGAGTCAAAAGGGTTTCATACCGGACCGTGCTGCATTCATTCCATTTCTTCTTGTCCCTTCCTCCTTGAAACAAAAAATCTTATGAGGGACTCGTAAAAGCCCGTACTACAAAGTGCTGCTTGGGCCAGCATAGCCGGAGCGCCTTCAATTTTTGAGTATGTTTCACGCACATCCGCGGAGGTCGAATAGTTGTATCTAGGAGTTGGGATTATTATTTTGCGATTGCTGGAAGTGTCTACTTCGCCTTTTCGGAATTACAGTCGCATCTCATGCTACGATTCTACGAAAGTTTAATTAAAATTTCCTCCTATTTGCATTTCTTCGCACTCGCACGAGGGAAAATAATGAGTATCGTCAGAATTTTTCCCACCGTCGATTTTTTTTTTTTTTTTTGAAAGTAATTGATGACTCTCATTTGAAGCTTTCATTTTCATTGTAAGCGTATGTTCTGGTTGAATTGAATAGATCCTCTGAATCTGATGCAGTGAATCCGTATTTTCTCGTGATCTCGTTTTCAGGGGCCGATTTTTTTCGGCTCTGTCACACGGAGGTGCAACATCCATCGATGAGTCCAACTCGCACCACCGGCCAATCAGAAGCCCTAAGGTAGACTGAAATGCAGTCGAGACTCGTCCTAAATATATTTCAACTACGGTGCAAGAGGCGACAAAATTCGGCCCCAGACGGTCCAGAGGGCTCACCAAACAGATGGACTGCATTTTGCAATTTGGAACTATAAATTCGGGCTTATCTGAAAAAACACTTATGTGCATAGGGAAACTAATGGCACATACGTTGTTTTTAAACCGGACTAGAATTCATAGTTCCAAATTGCAAATTGCAGTCCAGATGATCGATGTTCACCGGAGTCATTGTTTGGATCCAAACTGTACCCCGTGAATTACTAGGGACTTGGTGAATCTGGTCCGAACACGGAGAACAAAACTTCGTGCGAGGGACCCGAAGTTTAGGTCATATGGATCTCTGAAGTTTTCGGATTGAGCATCTGAACACTTTAGGTCTACACTGGAAAAAAAAGAATCTTAAATTTGCCGCCAAGAAGTATTTCTTCTTAAATCAATAATTTTTCTGGTTAATATAAGCTACTTTCTTGCTTAATCCAAGCATTATTTTTCTTGTATTAAGAAAAAGTCAGCTTAAAGCAAGAAAAAAAAAAATTTCTTGGCGGCAAATTCAAGAATCATCATGCTTGATCCAAGCTACTTTTTTTTCAGTGTAGCTGTCGAGGTTCGGATCACACGTCTGAAACCTCAGTTCTTACATCTGAAGTACTTCAGTTGTGAGAACTGAAGTTTTCGGATTGAGCATCTGAATACTTAAGGTCTAGCTGTCGAGGTTCGGATCACACGTCTGAAAATTCAGTTCTTACATCTGAAGTACTTCAAATGTGAGAACTGAACTTTCAGATGTGTGATCCAAACCTCAGCAGCTGGACCTAAAGTGTTCAGATGTTCAATCCGAAAACTTCAGAGATCCATATGACCTAAACTTCGGGTCCCACGCCCGAAGTTTTTTTCTCCGTGAAGCTCTCTGTCTCTGATTGATCCGTACTGATGGATCTGTCACCTCACCGATGGCACCGATCGGATCGATCGGATTGACGCGAAAATTCACTCAGTGTAAGCTCAGCATTAGCAAGGCAAAACTGATTTTACTCGTAGCCGGTGCTGTTTTCCTCCGGACGGTGAACGATGCTGATGATTTCGGTTCTTTTCGTTGCATACTCGTTGCTTTTTTTTTATCCGCCGTCGACGAGCCTCGGAAACGAGTCGGGAGAACCGGGTAGCCCACGTGGGTAAGCCAAAACACGGAAGTGGCGATAGCTGTTTTTAACTGATCGGGAATGCTAGTGCCTCGGTTTTCCGCAGCAGCGCTTTAATCGCGCGTCCGAAGCGCGCCCGCCAGTCCTGATTCTTGCTCTCCCGGTGCATCAGCTGTCGCGAGTCTTCTCGGCCTTGGTCAAGTTTTCTGTGTTTACGCTCCTCCGTGCGCACTACACGAGGTGATCCCGGCGTTTTGTGCGGTACAATTTCGCATTTCGGGTTTTTTTTTTTATTTTTTTTTTTTTTTTTATTATTATTTTTAAATCTCAACGCGCCGCCTCGAGGTGGTCTACTGTGTGTTTATGTTAGTTTCCCTTCACTTTGTATCTTAAGTTTCGATCCGCAAATAAAAAGGTCCTTGGAGAGGACGAAAAAAAAGCGCCAAAAATATTAAATGTTTGAAAATTTATTCATCTTCCCCCATTTTATGTGGCGAAGTGTTTTGACATAATGCCTTTTTTTCAACACGAGGATCTGATTTCATCTCGTCCAGTCGTTCAGATACCGATTCGACATTAAATTACGGATACATTAAATAGTATGCATAAAAAGTTTTATGTCGACTATATTTTCACCCTTTTCAACTCCAATCTGGAATGGAACATGAAATATTAATCGAACACCTCTAACCATCTCCTAACCACTTGTCTTCATCTTTGTTTTATTCTATCTTTAGCGATGAGCCTTTTTTTAAATTCACCAAAAAGTACATGAACACTAATGAACAGGGTAGTTTCTCTCAAGCTGGGATTTGAAATTAATATCATTCTGGGGAAATAACGGGGTAGGCTGACTTTTGACCCGTAATAGTAGCAAGATCTCAAATTCATTTATCGTGACCTTACATTCAGAAGACAACGCGCGTTTTTGACATCCCCAGCGCTCAATCAATACAGAAACTATTGAATTTCACACGAAAGAGTGTTATCAATCGATGCCAGGATACTGAAAAAAATGTGGATTTTCCAGTGCCCTTTACCAATTTCAAATTTCGCGCGTCGAGACACGTTGTTCAACACCCTGTGCACCAATAAATCCCCGTGTTAGTTAATGCAGTGAAACTCAAAGAAATACTCTATCTAAACTTTCCGGGTATTTCCGGTCATAAAATTTTCCTCCATTCTTTTCTCATGGTAAATGTATTGTAATTTACGATCATTTCATCAAAATTGCCCTCAAATTAAAAAAATCACGTATACTTTATCGTCAAATTTGTACAACTTGCAATCAACTTAAACCCTTTCCGATTTAAGGCATAAAATCAGTTTCCCTCATCAAAGCTCAGAAGTGAATTTCGTCGCTAAAATACCAAGCCGCCCTGAAATGAGACGAAAAAAATGGCACCAAACAAAATGTTGGCATAATTATGAAACGACGTATCTGCTATGAATTGCCATATGTTCATATCGGTGTATTTATCAGTGTGCCAAAACACCCAGTACCTATCAAATTAAGACTGCTCAATTAACGAGAGTCCACCATATGACTTCATGCGCAAAGCGGAACCACACACTAGAGTTTTTAGAATGTAAACATGAAGCAAGAAAGAACCAACTTTTTTGAACCCCCTGTAAAAACAGCATATGTACTATCAATCTCCCTGTGCAGACAAGTGCTTTTATGGATAAGCCAGAAAAGTTAGCTCCTCTTTGCGTAATGCAGTCCACGCGCAGTTCCTTTTTGCCACATGCAGATTATTCCACGGTGGCAAAGCAAGAAACTGTAGAATTTGAAGACACCTGTCGCTTGATAAGATGAAGACATGTGGTAGGAGGAGGGTGGGTTATTTATCCCCAGAAGTAGGCAGTACCTTTCGGATTGACTTTTTGACCTTTTTATTTTCAATTAATACCCTCATATAGATTATATACTTATATAGCAAGTGTTAAACTGCACTGCGAGGAGTAAACATTGCATAGAAAAAGACTATGACATTTTTCAGAAAGATTTCTTTTCAACAAATTTTTTTCGTAGGTTGCGCCCACAAATAGTTGCTAGAACTGGGGAAAGAAAAGATGAGACATATGCCATATCAGCCTGAATGCATCAATCATCAGTGGGCCTATTAGTTACCACCTAAATTTATGTTGAATGGTATCGTTCTTTGATGTTATATTTGTCTCCTCTTTTCTTTCCCCTGCGGACTGATCGTTGGAATTGATGGACAAAGCTCTAGACAAATAAGACGAAAGGGATGTGAAGGGATCCTATTGGTGGAAGTGGGCGGTTGCAATGGACAAAGAATATATGTGGCAGACTAACTAACGGCAACTCACGAGAGACCCTTTAGTCAGTCCATCATTTCATTTCCACGAACCGCTCATTTCAACCAATAGGATTGCTCCATATTCCTTATGTCTTCTTTGCCTATAGCTTTGTCTATCAATGTCAACAATCAGCCCGCAGTTCTAAAATAACAGATCTTTTCGTGAAAAACCGAGCAAGTCGCTTTATTTTTCGTCCTCTCCAACGCTAATTGTGTTTTATTACTCAGTGTTAGATGGATGCAGTGACAGGTGTGGAGTTTCCATCCGCGATTAGAAGTTCAGCGAAAAGTACAATCCCACTCCGGTGAAGTTCCGCAGTTTCTCCGGATTTTTCCTCTCCGGATTTTGCTCTTGTGTGGTTTTTCGTATCATGGGTGACCCTTGAACTGACAATGAGTTATATTATCACCGCGATCGAGTGATTAGAAGGAAATCTGCAAGTTGGGTCTTTCACTCCTCTCGTGCGTTTATAAACGGTATTGATGACTGACAGCAGCCACGACTTTGTTTTATCGGTCACTTCACGCTTTAATCGTGGACTCGTTCGGGCTGAAGATGATGGAACACGTTTGGATGGAAGATATGGTATGTTTTTTACGTCCTTCCATCTTAATTTTGATCGAGTCGTCAAAGGGTAAACTGTCATTCAAATCAAGGAATAATTTTTCGTGTTTCGTTCAGAACAGATCTTTATCGTAAAAAGTCCCCCATAAATCAATAGATAAATAATGTATATCCCTTGCCTACGAAAGGTAAGATCATAGTTTATCCAGCGTTCTTATAAGCTGGGCGCACTGGAAAAAAGTCTCTTGGATCCAGAGTCTAGACTCTAAAAAAATATAACAAGAAAAAATACTCTCGATTCAGTCATATTTTTGCTTGAATCGGGACCTCGGGAGCAAGCCTCTTAATTTAAGCGGATTTCCTTTTGATTCAAGTAAACATCCGATCGAATCAATATTATTTTTTCTTGTCGAAGTTTTTATGAGTTTGGTTTCTGGATCTGAGAGACTTTTTTCCAGTGCTACTTCATAGTTAAAAGAACCAAAAGCAGTTCCGTACGAAACGGATTTAGTGTGTAGGAGCACTGAAAAATAGTGTAATTCCCCTTCGGAAAATACACTAAAAAAGGTCGGATGACTTGGACACAGTGTTAGCCCATATTGGGTTTAGCACAGACGTATTGATTTTTTCTATCGATTATTTGAACCGCGTTAAACAGAAAGGAACCAAGCCACATCAGCTATTGCCAAATTTAATTTAGCACTTTAATTTTTTACATGAAAACGATTGTGCGGATTTTCGTGCAAATTTTAGTGGATTTTCTCCATAGTACGAAGCAAATTCCTTAAAATTTTCAGAGGAATCCACACAAACGGTCTCTCGTAAAAAAATATATTGCCCTGTTAAATTTGGCAACAGCTGATGTGGCTTGGTTCCTTCCTGTTAAACGCGGTCCATTTAACATAGGTTTATACGGTTGGAATTCGGTGTTGCCTAATTGCTGGATCCGCCTCTGACTTTTACAGGGGGAATCTTGGGGTCTTAGGCATTTTTGACTGTAAATTTCACTGATTTTGCTTCAGATCTCATACAATAATCAGAAATTTTTTTGGCAGAAATTGCTCTGGAGCATTCTTGTAATAAATTGAATTTCTTGTAGTCAATTTTGCAACCTCGGAGTTACGTTCATTCGTCGAAGTTAGATCGAGAATTTTCTTCACCCTTTTTTTTCATTCACTCCTCCCCCGCTGGAAGTCTCCGTTCGCTATTAAGTGCATTATTCACTCGCGTAAATCCGAGGCGATGATATATTATCATAAACTACAGAGAGATAAGGCCGAAAATGATGCGTCTTTTTGCGGCCGCGCGTAATATCTCGAGTGAAGTTATTGCACTCACAACTCGATCGCAAATCAATTCATCACCTGCCCGTTTCTACTCCCAGTTCCTATCCATCATCCATGCATGATTTTCCCATTTGAGAGGATTGAGGGATCCTGTTGCAAGTCCACGATTCCCGCCATGAATCAACATTTCGGCATGCAAATTAACAGGAGTAAGCTGATTGTTTGTACCTCTCCCAAGAACAGAGACAAATACTGCCGTGCTGAGGAAAAACGCCGTATCAGCCTTCAGACGTTGCCAAGCTTCCTCCGATAAAAACCGAATTTACCTACTGGGAAAATTGTGAATATTACATTCCAAAATTCTTCAGACAATTTTGCACGCAATTTCTTATTCTTACTATATTATAAAATCCTAAGCCCTAAAATGGGCCTGTTGCAAACTTTTGCTAGAGCAAAACTAAGAGTTGTTTCTTATAGATAATGCCTCAAAAATCACGATGAGCGCATCGGCAAACTCTGAAATGCACTCAAAACTTCACAAACTGCGTAAGAAATTTGCGGTTTTTTGAGCTTCCCGCTTCAAAAACGATACTACGGCACAGGTGAACATTTTGTAAGAGGAGTCGTTCCATTGTCGGCAATAATCATCATACCCGACGCCAATCCGCCAAAACACGTTTGATGGGACGAGATAACACCTGAACTGGATTAGACCAGATAACAATCGGTGTGTTAACGTTCATATTTTCCACGCCCGAATTGATTGGCCTTGAACCATCCTTGAATTACGCGCGGAACTGCGTGCAAGCGTCGGCCATGATGAATATCGCCGACGATGGAGCGACTCCTCTAACAAAATGTTCACCTATGCCGTAGTATCGTTTTTGAAGCGGGAAGCTTAAAAAAACGCAAATTTCTTACGCAGATTGTGAAGTTATGAGTGCATTTCAGACTTTGCCGATGCGCTCATCGTGATTTTTAAGGCATTATCTATAAGAAACAACTCTTATTTTTGCTCTAGCAAAAGTTTGCAACAGGCCCATTGTCGAGATCTGTTCCACGCTGTCCTGAAGTTACCGTTAGGGCGAGAGTATGGCAATTTTACGGAATTGTGACACCTTATGTGCTGCAGCACGGCGCGATCTCCTTTTTTTGAAGTTTTCATATTTAATCGAGTTATTGCGAAAAATCTGCAAATCTATTTTTGCCTATTTCGCGACTAATATTGATCCTATGAACTTGAAATTCGTCATTATGAAGGGGCAAGCTGAAATGGTTATGCTGAAGCTTCTTGTAATCTATAATATCTGAAACTTTCAAGGAAAAATATGCATGAATGTTGCCAAAAATTAATGTCTTGTTAAGGGAAATTTGGCACCTCGCGAATGCTCATACGGAGTTCTTCCTTATCACGGCAGGGTAGGTACGTGGCTCTTGTGTCACGGCAGTGGTGGAAACTTTTACTTTCTGGACGCCACCAAAATCTTCGAGTTGTTGGCCTCCGAGCAATGTGTTCAACATTTTTTACGAATGTTTGGCTGAAGAGAAAATATATCGCCTACGTTCCTAAGTAAAAGCTCCTATCTGTTATGTCATCGAATGCAGCTGGGTCTTTCTTATTCACAATGAAACATTTTACACCTTGGGCACCGAGCAGTGGCGAGGCGTGAATGATCGATTATCGATATTCCCCCATTTGAAGCTGTGGTGAAGAATCGATTATTATTAATTTGTTCATTGACTATTGAATATAGCGCTACAAACCGAGGAAAAATCCATTTTAATGAGTTTGGTCCAGAACAAGCGGAAAAATTCATGAAAAAAAAATCTGAGATAAACGACAATTCTCCCCAAAAAATTGAGAGGCCGTGGCTTCAACTGAGGGAAATTCTGGAAAAAAAATAATAAAGGAAACAAGTCTTATTTTCACCCTTAGAACATCCTCCAGCAGTATGGCGATGTGACCCGGATGGGGCAGCTGGTACCCTAAATGGTTTAAATTAAAAACTGCTGTGGATAAGTTTGTTGGGGCTTCATTTCGCGTGACAAAATCGACGTTCCCTCCAGATAGGTATCGTAAAAGTCCTCTAATTGGTCTTTTCACGGTACGCTTTTCCATTTCCCTTTCGTACGTACACAAAAAGATGTAGCTGGAAACGCATGTCTATCGACGGTGTAGAACGGTAGCGATGATTTAACTCTTGAAGACTGCATGGTATTTTTATTCCGAGCAGTTCAAGAACCGGGTTATGCTCTCTCTCTCTCTGATAATCTAGAGGAAAAGAAAAAGAAACTAAGCTGCCAATGACCAGGTAATGGTTATCAGTCTATCTTTCTTACTCGACATCCGGACGTTCTTTTTCGCGAAAATGACCCAAATTTGTTGCCTCGTTATGTAAGGTCATAGTATTGGTTTTCTTTGAGAGTAGTGATGGAAAATTTTATTACAATGTATACTAGTTATCATTCACATGCAAGCAGTTGTGAAACTGGATGTCTGCACCACCTACGAGTAACATGTGTCGTAATATTTTTGCTCCCGTGGAAAACGGAAATAATCGATGATTCGCTAACTCACTTGGACAGCCGATTATTGATTGGCTGATTGGCATATAAAAACTAACCGAAGTGTCTCTGAAACTAACAGTAAATGTGGTCTTCGTTTCTTCAGGATATATTGTATGAATTAAATCTGATTTCGTGAATTTTGTCCGAGAAAACGGGCGCACTTATACGTGGGATTAGTTACGACCGTACTCAAATCCGTTTCAGGGCTTCTGATTGGCCATCGTTGTAGTTTTAGCTCATCGATAGATGAGGGGCTCGGAGGACTAGGGGCATAAGTGTAGTTTTTGAAAAAATTAAGCCGTTAATGATTTCAAGTAAATCTAGTCTTAATGCGCATTCTGCGAAAAATTCGCTCCCAAATTCCGATTTTTCAGCATCAAAAAGTCAGTTTGATCTTCCTTTCTGCCATAAGGATCCGTGTAATTTCGAAACTTCAAACACGTGTTTCTTGAAATAGCAAAATCTGCACTTTTGCGCCTTGTCCTCCAAGCCCCTCAGATGTTGTTTTGGTACAAACGTGGCCGCTCTCAAAAAAATTCGGTCACTGTTCAGCTTTTAACTAGACTCAGTGACGATCCTCGTGAGATGGCAATACTTTTTGCCTCCAAATCAACTCCATTTTAAATACTCGATTCTTTTACGTACATTTAAATGGGCGAAACCTAATGATGCCACGTTTCAAGAATCGTTCCCGATCGGTGAAGGATTAAGTATCAAACTTTTGTTTCTCCTCCAAGAAACAAGGGATGCTCCTAGTACGTGTCACTTTACTGTATCGTGGTTACCTGCCAATTCATTCCTTTCGCTCTCTAAAACGTTTAAAACGCTCCTGTTGATCGCTTCAAAAGCCGTTTGCATTGATTAGAATCGGTTTCGTTTCCAATCACTACGCGACGAAAGATTGTCTATGTTTCACTTGCTGTGTCTGCTTTTCTTCATAAAAAACATCATGACCGAGTGTGAAGAATCCCATTTTTCCCCTACATTGTAGAGCTGAGGAAATGCGCTGTGTACTCGGTAATGTGAATTACGCACACGAACAAAAAATGAAGTCAGTGCTTCCCAGATTCCTGGTTATCTATACTTCCCAGTAATTCCAGTTACGTTCACAAGTTGTATTTGTATGATATGCAGAGTCAGAATTCTAGTAGTGCCCATAGATTTTTT